AAAATCGTCCGTTCTCTGTTTCTGATCGAGTATGTTCGGAGACGGCTTTATGGGTTTCGGAGCTTTTCTAGAAGATTTCAGCTTCGGACGAGCTTCGGATCGTCGTCTTCCTGATTTCAGTCCCGGTGGGTTTCTTCAGAGTCTCGACACAGACCCATTTCCGAAGAATCAGTGTTACAAAACGAATACTGGCGATGCTCTCGATCTCTGTAAGAAGCTTAACAAAATGGGTATCTCTTGTGACATGAGTATCTGGACCGAAGAGCCTGACCCGAGAGATCTCCATCGGTTTGACCAGAATCTCGGTGGATTCGATGGGTTTCGTAACGTCTCTTCTGCTCGCCGGAGTTTTCTTCAAAACGCCTCTCATGGAGTTTCTCCGGCAGAGCTTAGATTGCTTGGCTTACAAGACTCTCCTCCTAACCCCAACGGATTCAGAGAGATGATTTCTCTCAACAGTCACACAGATTTTCTCTACAGACCCATAAAGCGTTCGCCTCCTTGCTTTGGGAACGATGCGTTCGAGGGCTCGTTCATGTTTGAAGGAAGTAGAGTTTCTCAAACCCTAGCCGCCACGGAAGGAGGTGGTCGAGAGCTTAGAGCTTGTTCTTATCCAGAGGATAATCTGATCGGTCAAGGCTACTATGGGAAGATGAGAGCTTATCTCAAGGAAGATGAGGCAAAGTTTACAAGAAGAACAAGTGATTTGCCACTGAATCTAGCCTCCATGATTAGCATCTACGGATCTGTGGATTTAATGGCAAGAGATCAGATTGGTTGCAGATTCTTGCAGAAGCTGGTCGAAGAAGGAAGGTTTCTTGATGTAAAGGTTATATTCCCTGAAATCCTTGGTCATGTCATCGAGTTATCAATCGATCCCTTTGGAAACTATCTCATCCAGAGGCTTCTAGAGTTTGGCACAGAGGAACAAAGAACACTAATGGTGAGGGTTTTGACCTCAAGACCAATGGATCTCATCAAAATCTGCCTCAACACTTATGGGTAAGCTTCTTCTTTCACTGCTTTGAATCAGATTTGTATATTCATTTGAAGAAAAGTATTTCAAATCCGCAAAGTCCACGAGTCCAAAAGAGATTGAGACATATCATCTTTTGTGGGGTTTTGGATAAAAAAAATCATTCTTGTTTTTGGAGAAAGATGAAATCTTTGCCGTTTATGGAAATATTTGAAACCTCTTAAATAGTTTGGTATAATGAATAGACATCCTTGTCAATTTTAAAGAAGGCAACATTTGGTAGAGAAAAAAATGAATTTTTTATTACTCTTGTTGGACAAACCAAAAACTGAGACACCTTTGTGTAAAAGCCGTGAAATCCGCTCTGTCTAATCTCTCTGGTTCATGTGTAGGACAAGAGTAGTCCAGAAGATGATAGAAACGGTGAAAACGAAACAACAGATCGAGCTGGTCAAGTCAGGTCTGAAACCTGGTTTTCTTACACTGGTTAAAGATTTGAATGGTAACCATGTGATACACACTTGCTTGCAGTCTCTTGGACCTAATCATAACAAGGTTTAATCTCATTCTTTTTCTTTCTTACTCGATTAAACCTTGTTCTGATGAGTAAACACACACACATATATATATGTCTCAAATGTTGTGAAAATTTGAGTTTCAGTTTGTGTTGGATGCTGCTACAAAATACTGTGCTGAGATTGCAACTCATCGACACGGATGCTGTGTGCTTCAAAGCTGCATTTCAAACTCTGAAGGAGTGCAACATGAGAGATTTGTCGCTGCGATTGCAAGACACTCACTTCACCTCTCTCAGGATCCATTCGGGTAACATTAACCGTGACTCTAGCTAGACTAAAGATTTCTTATGGTGTTTTATAGACTCAAGAATCTCCTTAAAGGTTAATGGATTCATTGGGCAGGAACTATGTGGTGCAGTACCTAATAGATCAAAAAGTACCTTCAGGGAATTTGCTGTACCAGTTTAGGACGCATTACGCGGAGCTAGCTGCTCAAAAGTTCAGTAGCCATGTGGTGGAGAAATGTCTGATTAATTATCCAGAGAGTCGAGGTGAAATAGTCCGCGAGCTTCTCTCTGTTCCAAAGTTTGAACATCTCTTGCAGGATCCTTTTGCAAACTACGTTATCCAAACTGCTCTCTCAGTAACCAAGGTCGGTCCAAAATCATAAACAAAAGGTTTGAGAAAAAGAACATAACTTGACAATGATGGCTTTTGTGCAGGGTTCTGTTCATGCGAGATTGGTGGACAAGGTTTATAGGTGTGGGAAACTACGATCCAGTCCTTATTGCAAGAAGCTTTTCTCCAAGAACGTCTTGAAGAAAGGCATTTGATTAGTAGTAAACCAACACTAATC